GCTTTTCATGCCATAATGTAAATGCGATAGCGAGCGTTTATTCAGATTGAAGGAGAAAGAAATGGTATTTAACCGAAGATTTCGCAAGTTGATTTTACATTCACCCCAACTATACTGTCCTCCCGGACCCAGCTCTAGCATCCATTCTACCTCAAGGGCCTTCAGTGGCACCTACCTTACGACAACCGGATAAAAACATGCAAACTGCATGTTATTCTCGGCATATAGCGGAACCTGGAAGTTGATTTTAAAGAGTGTTCTGCCTAACTTGCAGCCATTACTTTATCACGGATTCTGGATTCGTGACTAAATAGCGATTCGATCCTTTGGCGTTGAGTGCTTCTAGCCATTAGGCTTGTTTACATGGCTTTCTACAAATTAGAGCCTTCCTGCGAGTTAAATTATCCTATGAGCCTGTAGGCTAATCTAACTACATTTGATTTTAGTTCAAAATTACTTGTTTAAGTTAAATCAGAAGTGTTGGCATGTGCAAATCCAAGTTGGGGCATTGTTCCTTCTGTGTGTTCAAATAAAAGGGCTATTCACGCCCTTCTTCTGACTTGTCTGTCTACAATTCGAAACAAGAGGATTATTCCTCTATAGTCTTTCTAGAGCTCGTGACTTTATGCTATCAAAGAAAGTGAGACTTGCATCAGAGTTAATACTTGCTAATCGAAAGCGTAATGGAGTACTCAAAGTTAATCAAGTATACAATTAGGAAGAATTCCAGATTAATATTTACAACTTTGGTTACAGATTAATACTACAGTTACAGAATTATATTATAGTTACAGATTAATATTACAGTTATAAGGTATTTCTTCTACCTTCCTAGCGTGCCTTCGTGGTGCAGTGGTTCTACACGCTGGACCGGTATTCTAGAGGTCCGTGGTTCGATTCCCGACGAAGGCGGTTGCTAATTTTTCATCTCTCCGGCTTCCAAAAATCCTATTGTGTCTACAAAATTACAAATTAATATTGCAGTTACAGATTAATATCGATAGTTACAGATTAGAGATTAATACTTACAGCATATAATGAGTTTCGCTTATAAAAGAATATTATTGATAGAGAAATTATTAAATCATTTTATTTCTTTAAAGTAATTTCGATTTAAGGGTGTATAATTAGTTTAAGGAAACATTTCAAGAATTAAACTCGAAGATATGATGCAATTTTCTAAGCGATCAACGCAAAAAAGACTTTCAAAAATTAAGTTGCGGTTTATAAAAAAATTATTTTCATTGTTTCAAATTAAATTGTACTTTTTCAACATGTAGAAAAATACACGAAACGGTTCCTAGCTGTGAGTTTATAACGTACAGTATTCAGTAAAAGCATTTATCATTTCATTCAGTCCTGAAACCCTTTCAATGAATCCTTCAATTTTTGTGATGTAATAGCTAAAAGATAACGAAATAAAGCTGTTTTATCTTTGAGATGAAGAAATTAATATTTGTTTTTCTAAAGTTAGTTAACTCAGAATCAAATGTCGAAATTGTTTGCATAATAAGATTGAATTTCAGAAAACTTAAGAATAAATAATGACAACTTATTCTGTTCCTTTTATGTATTAATTTTTTCACTACGTACACAGAAAAGGTACATACATTTATATGCAAATAATTATACACTTCTTACTATAACTTTCACCTACAAGACCTGATGGTGTTTCGATTTTGATAAAGTCTGTAACATTGGAGAAAAACGGATTTCATCACGGATTCTGAATGCTCATCGATCTGTCTGATTCTTCTGTTATTTACTCTATTATCTTCTGTTTACTACAGGAAAGGTACTTACGTATTATCGCAACCAGGTTGGCGCGATTTGTAAGTTTGAGTAAAAAAGTATGAATAAAAAGAAAATGTACATTTATTAATTACAGATAATTTTGAATACAGTTTTTTATATTATTTTGTTTTAAAATATAAAATAGCAATTAAACCCTTCCGGTTTCGAATTTGAATAAGTTGCAGAATTATTTTTTCGGCGGAAATCTTTTGGTTATTTTAGCACTGATTGAAAACCGTCTTCGCCATTAACAGCTTGAGCTTGGCGCCATATAAATTCGATAAGGTATGAGTCAAGATGATGACGGGCTGTTCCTCTCTGTTTTTTGATGCGCCATTTGGCTGAGCCCCACATGCGCTCCACATGTTGTGTGTGAACGCCCGTGTTGGGATCCACAAAGTTATATTTGTGATTAACAGTTCCATTTTGAACATTCCAGCATTTTCGAACTCACTTGTATTGTATCCTTTCCAGCAATCCGAATAAATGATGCTTCCTTCCTTGATATTTTCGCAAATTTTTTTCCATGAGGGTAACGGCGCTTCTGTTAGGTACAGTAACCAAAAAAGTCTCTTTCTTTTCTCGGCAAATTCCGCCGAAAACCCATTGCTGTGGTAGAACACGCCCCATTAACACGTAGGTTGCCGTAATTAGGGTCGCCAAATTTGGCGATTTATGCGAATTTTGGCCTGGTTGCGTTAATACGTAAGTACCACAGGAAAAACTATTCATACACAAATGTACTCCCCAAAAAAGACAATCACTCTTATTGCAAAATTTTTTAGTTGAGGATACTTATATTTTGACAAGTATGAATAAAAGTTAATCAAATCTGTATTTTCAAATCTTTGAATAGCGTACCACAGTTTAAATTAATTAGATCCAGCTGTAGATTTACTAGCGCGTTACTCGCGTTCGTTTTAAAAGCAATGGATATAATGTAAAATTAGGCTCTAATTTATTAAAAGCTTAAACGTTTTCCTCAAATTCTTGTCATAATAATTAATATGCCATAATAATGCTAATTAATTTACAGGAAGTATATTCACTGGCCGTATAAAATTTCTTCGGAGGCCTCTTGTTTGAGACAACTACACTATAGCATACGGATTTTATTGTATTTAATGCGAAAGGTGTTTGATATTAACAGCGACATTTGTTCTTGCTTCCTACAGTATGAAGTTGATACTGAGATCATTGTCTTAAGCACAATAGTATGAATCTTTTGTGTTGATGATACAAAGGGGATTTTGAAAATATGCTCGATATTACTTTATCAGGTGTATATATTACTTTATCAAGTCTGATATCTTTTATAGAAACTCATAATATGTTGTTGTTGCTGTCACTAATCTCGCTTGTCTGATATCAGAGCAAGCCCACGAAATTCATTGTGGCAAGGAGGTGAGATTGCACCTGTCGTAGGCAAGCGCGTAGGGCATCGTGCAGGAGACAATACGGCTTTGCTCCTAACCCCTCTTTCCCTTCCATTAACCTCTCGAGAGGACTTACGGTTCGCCGAATATTTAGAATGCTCCCATGGCACACAGACACTGTACATTTACAAACATCCATGCCTTCTCCGGGATTCGAAACCGAAGCCCTTCGGTACGTGAGTCAGAGTCACTAACCACTATCCTGGTTAGGTGACTCACAATACGTAAATATATCTGTATATTCTTTAATATATATATGAAATGATAATTTTGCCAAAATTTCGGCGGAAATTTGTTTGTTTTAAAATTAACTGAATTATAAAGCATATGCGAGAAATTAATCAAACTAAATAAATAAAGTATTTATGGTTCTAATATAAAGTATTTATGGTTCTAATATAAAGTATTTATGGTTCTAATATAAAGTATTTACTTTTAATTTTTACGCCAAAACACAGACATGCAGTTGATGTTGCTTTGTTTCACTGAAGTAGAACAATGATTACATATCCTTTTGTTTGAAAACTAATCAATTGGCTTTAAAACTAATCAATCTGGTCCTCTTTTAGCTGATCGAAAAGTAAGTTCCATAAAGATTAGCAAGAATCTCAGAGTGTATTTCAGATTTCGAAAGTTATCTCTCACGTCTATTGAATGATAAGAGAAAGTCTAATTTATCGGTTACTTAAATATCTTATGTAATATTTTTTATTGTTTTCACTTTTGCACTTTTGTTCATTAAGTGTGCAACAACTATATAGTAACCTATGTTTTACTCGTAGTAAAGTTAAACAAAAAAAAAAAAAAAAAAAAAAAACTGCATCTAAATTTAAAGTTATTAAATTTTTAAACTCTTATTTTAATGAAATAAATAGAAGACGACTAGCAAAAATTATCAATGGAAATAATTTTGAACTTCTGCTGTAGATGGTGTTGGTGTATTTAATTACGGCAAAGCACACTAGGGCTATCTGCCTAAGAGGAGGGATGCCTTTCGTGGAGGACTTTCTAAGGGAAACTGGCTCGTATACACGTTACACATGGGGAAAACCACAAAAACACCCATGCAGCCAGCCCGTTCGCGGGATTCGAACCTCGGACCGAACTACCAGTGTTCAGCGACTTTACCGCTCGGCCGCTGGTGGGCTACTTCTGCTGTAGAAGAAAAATAAATGTGTACGATGTTTGAATATAGATTTCTGTTGCACAGAAGAATCTAATGTATATTATATGGCAGTAGGTTGTCAACACCATGAAGAAACCGGCAATGCCTGTTAGCAGCATCGTTAAGGAACTGTTAATTCATGCTATTAATTGCCATTTCTGCCATTAATTAAAAATTTATCTGGTAATTAATTTATCTTTAGAAGTAAAAATGATTTCTAGTACTTGGGAAAAAGGTAAGACTTTTACGTTGTCTTTTAAATTTGATGCCTTAAAGAGATATAGTAGATTTTTCAGTCACAAAAACTGATTTCATTTACAGCCGTAAAACAAAGTACTGACATTTTAGCAAATATAATTTAATGGAAAAAAAGAAATGAATGTATGATATTTTAGATAACTAATATTTAAAATCAAAAAAAAAATTTTTATTATTTTTAGTGAAAATGTGCATTTTAATTCTGTTTCCTAATTTGTACTTAAAATTGAAGGTTAATATCATATATGAAAAATTTAGACATGTTTTAAGTAAAAGTCAGAAAATATAAAAAGAAATCATAAAGGAAAGTATTGAAATTATTATAAGCTTTCCAATTTAAATCATACCTCTGCTGGAAAAAATGGAGCTTGCAGTGATACACATGCTCCTGCACAGAAGTTTCCAAAGGCCAAGGTTACCAGAGTCAGCCATTGTGTTGAAGTGTATTTTATTTTGGCTTTCATGCCTTCTTGAGATTTTCCTAAACTGAGAGGAAATGTACCGGACAAACTGCCATAAAATGGAGCCTCATTTTTAATCAGTGGCTCTTTCGAATTCTGGTTTTCGTCTCTCATTTTGAAATATCTGAAAAGAAAGGTGGAAAGAGATTTTTCGATTAACATTGTTAATTAATGAACATACTGGAAATTTAATCTTCTTAAAATTGGTTGACTAATGCTGAATTATTTGGCATTCAAAAAGTATCTACTCAGTTAAGAAATCCATCCTGGAAGATGTTTTTAAGGAAAATTCGCTTGTATTTATATTACATATTTAAACATCAGGAACAGGGCTAGAGGTTTCTCGAATAAGTGTGTTTGAGAAGTTAATTGTTTCTGAGGGTTTGCTTTTTGTCCTATGCAAGAGAAGTAAACAATTTCCATGTCATTCATTTCATGTGCCATTGTAGACACTGGCGTCTCCGAGTCGTCAAGAACTGTCTTCGGCCAACGCCGCGCAGTATGTTATTATTGTTATACGGCAATGTAAATTTGAAAATAAAACATTCTGTTTCTAATCTTGCACATGAATGTCCACAATTGAGCCAAATTAAATGGTATTCGATTAATTAACGAATCAGTTTTTAATATGCTCATGGCATAAATTTTTAAAAAATAAAATTTTATTTCAGTATTAGTTATATTAGAAAGGTTTATCATATCTTCCACAAAACATTCAAAATTTGAAACCTCCTTTTTATTTAATTAGTATAGCATCTAACCTTCTTAGATCTCAAAGTCTAGCCAGGCGACTTCTCGCACAGGCGTGAAAAGTAACGCAACAGATAAAGGATGTAAAAAGCCCTTTTTATTTATAACAACTCTTTAACAGAAAGGGGCACGGACTTCGTGCTCACAAAAACACCGACTACTTGTGATGATAACTTAAGGTAATTTTAACAATAGATTCGAAAAATAAATTTGTGAAGTCTAGCGCTAGACTTCACAAATTTAACCTAACAAGCTGACTCAGCAACCTACACCGGCGATAGTCTAAACGGCCAGAATGCGTAGCTGTTACCTAACAGCTGGAGAACAAATAGCAAATGTGCGCTACACTAGCGAAATCACGCTCTGTCTAAACCAGCGATTCTCAACCGGTGGTACGCAAGATAAAAATAGGTGGTTCGCAAAGAAACAAAGTGTTTTAACAATTAAATTAAAAAATCTCCTGAAGAAAAAGAACAACTGATAGAAATTTTCCGTGATTGAACTCTAACTAGAGATTTCAAAAATAACACATTTGTTAACTTTTGGCTGAACCGAAAAAAAGAATTTGACCGCGTCTCAAATAAAGCTATCAATTTTTTATTGCCTTTTTGCAACACCTATTTGTGTGAACGAGGATTTTCTTGCATGTTATATTTGAAAAATAAATACAGAACAAATTTAAAAGTGGATCCTAATTTATGGTTAAAGCTAAGTAAAATAAGACCAGTCATAAAGAAATTTATCTCTCTTAAACAGCCCCAAATGTCACACCAAGTTTTAGAACTATGCACACTGAAATTCTACACATAATTAACTAATTCTCACAATAAAATTGACACGAAATTTTAGAATAACTTAAATTTTGATAATTAAAATGTTAACTAATTTTTAATCTAATATTTTAATATGTGCATATTTAATACAAATAGGTTGTGCAAAAGGCAAAGTACAATTTTTTTATAGTTCTATTGAGAAAGTATATTTCTATTGAGAAGTTAAAAGATAGTCATTGTAAAATATGGTGGTGGTATTAAAGTTTTTCAATATTTGTTTAGATGGTATCCGTTAGTCAAACCCCTGGTCTAAACTATTCATTTCAACCGTTTAAATACTCCCTTTCACCCGCTTAATTTGCATCCTGGCGGGGAAATGCGAGGGGAAATAGAGAATCCAGAAAATATACCAAAATTTAAAAAAATTAGTTAGTAAACTAAGGAAAACCCTACATTGGTACTAAAAAATTTATTTTAATTTTTCATTGTAAGCAATGCGGAAAAGAAGACAATTCATATCCTATTTTATATGTTTATATTCTAATCCCGGCAAAGAATAAAATAAACTAATATGCCAAATCGGTTAATCAGCAATATGAGTTTGCTCCATAATTAACTGCAAACAAAACCAACTATACATTTCCTGCAGAAATTAGACAGACGCGTCTAATTTTAATGGCAAATTTTATGCAAAAATGAAACAAAAGCTTGACAATACCACGCATTTCATTTTCAATTATTCTTATTTAGTCTGCTTATGCTATTTCAGTGGGCTTCCATATGTTACTACTGCAACAAATTGTATTTCAGATGACTGTATGGATGCATGGTTACCCAAAGTCTAGTTTCCCTGAATAATAAGTCTTACATGAAGGCATCTTTTATCTTACGTAGATAGCACCTTGATATTTTGTGGCAACTAATAAATCAAAGGAAATTTCACTTTTTAAAGATAAAACTGCCGTCAATATAAGGTTGAATTTTACCTAATTTTGAATTTCATATTGGTGGGTTTCTTTTCAGTACATGAAAAAGAGGTGTTCCGGTAGGAGTAGATATTTCACGTTGCAGGTGTGAATATCTCTTTAACGGTTGATCACGCTCACGGCTGACCAACCGAGAACCAAGTTTAAGAACAAACTAAATTTTAAAAATGAATCAGATAAGGTTTTTCAGGTTATGACAATTTTCATCAAGTGACACATTTTGACAAAATCATGCTAAATTTTAATTTTTATACAAATCCTCAACGAATAAACTTCCTATAAAATGTTGTTCCGTATCCTATGAAACATCCTTTATAAAAAACAATAATTGATTTATCATATGAAAAACTGATCCTGAAAAAAATTCTGTCAGCTAGAAAAATCGCTCGTTTGAGAGGTAACCGAAGAAGACACAACACGTTTAATGATAAAATTACCACATTATCAAAAAATCAAGTATTCCACGAAACATTACTTTTCGAAGTTTATAAAGACCTTATTTTATTCTAACCAATTATTTTTGGTTTTATTTTTCTTTCGCTTCTGATTTCAGTTTCCTGCCGGAATGTAAATTTTATAATGACGTAGTATTCAAATTTAAACATGTTTCAGAAGCAGTATTTAAGCTGCGTTTTAAGCTGCTGTGCTGTTTTAAGCTGCTGTATTTAAGCTGCTGTGACGAAGTAGTAGCGGAGTTAATTCCGAGTTTATGCTGTGTGTTTGAATTTAGCTGTCTCGTCGGTGTTGGCTACCTTTCAGTTTATACCGACGTTTCACGGATCGGCTTTGCTGTATGCAGCCGATTTAGCGTTAGTTAAGCTAAGGAGCCAGTCGTTAGCCATTCAAATTTATTAGTGATTCGTTACATTTTTATTTTCCATTAAATTTAATAAGCCACAAGTGGTGGTAAATTGTCAGCACCTAGTGCATGCATCTGTTTATTTGAATTCAAATAAAAAGGTTATTTAAACGTTCTTCTGCAGCATTTATTCTTCAAAGACATAGCGAGTATTCTCTACTTCGTGTTCTACGTAGAGTCTAAATTTTATGCTTTCAAATAGAGTGAGACTCTATAAGTTAGTAAAAGTATTATAAATGTATTTCTCCGCTTTCTTAGCATGTCTTCGTGGTGTAATGGTCAGCACACTGGAACGTATTCGAGAGGTCCGAGGTTCGAATTCCGGCAAGGGCATTGATCATTTCTCACATCTCCTGCTTCAAAATAATCTAATGTCTCTACAGTATTACTGTAGAACTGAATACATGCCTACTCATGAACATGAATACTCGCTACTGAATACATGCCTCATTTTTCCCGAAAAGAGTAAAATACTACGCGGGAAACTTTGACCAGGTAACCGAAGAAACATCTCATGACAACAAGTGATCTCTTCAAAAAATGGAATATTCGAGGGCTGTATTCATTTGGTCAAATAGGCTTTAAACGGGTTAGAAGTCAAAAGAAAAGAGCAAATTTATTTGACCATGAAAAAGAATATAGTTCAAAAGATTTAGTTTCTGAATACAGATAATTCGGTCCGGTACCCATGCAGCCAGCCCGTTCGCCGGGCGAGTCGCTGCATGGGTATTTTCGTGGTTTTCCGATGTTTAATCCGTATATACAAGTCAGTTTGCCATAGAAAGTTCTCCACGAAGGCATCCCTCCCTTTAGGCAGAAAATCCTCGAGTACTTTGCCATAATCAAATAAACCAAACCATCAAAAGATTTACTTTTTTTTAATCCTGAATACCCTATCTCATTGCTGTTAATTTGTATAGCTTTCGTATGTTTTATTATTTCAACTAAACTATATGATACATTTATTTTAGTTTAACTTATTCTTTACCTCTAATTTAACTTTAATTTTGAATATTTTTTACTAATTTATTTACATTTTATTTAATTTTATTTACTCCTTATTTACTGCTTTGTTTGTTAATATTTTAATTATCTATCTATTCCTAATCGTTTTCTCTGGGAATCTTCGGCTGAGTTCAGACACATCTAGTATTAGAAATTAAGTCCTAATTTCGCCTCAGTTTTTTAAGTAATACCTATGCACAAAGTTATTTACTTTTACCCGATATTTTGAGTGTTGCGAAAGAAATTGAAATATAAAATCACTCTCGCACGAATCATATCTATCCATCCTACTTCTCAAATAAATCGATTTAAATCGCACATGTTGTTTGATGCTCATAATCGCATTATTTATGATTAACAATAACAAAACAATGCTTCTCATTTGTGAGATGGATAAGTTTTCCTGTCGTACTTGCAGAACTAACATGTGCTCTGTTACCAGATTTTCGAACAGATATAGAAAGTGTATATTTGACTAAAATTTTACACCAGAAGTAAATCTTTGATATTTTAAAAAACTTTGATCCAAAAAAAGAAATAAAAATGTCCCCATTTTTCTAGCTGAAGGTATTAAAACCGAAATAAAATTAGAACAGAAAATGGAAGAAAAAGAATACTTAGAATTTGTTGAAAATTATGACTCGTAAAAATTGCTTTAATTTTTATTAAGCCTCGAAACTAAATAAACACCTCGAAAAAGAAAATAAATGAAATTTTGGTAGGTAATAAAAATTCAATTAAAAATATTTCC